TTTGAACATCCAGAACGTCATAATTATGTGTATCCTCTACGGCATATGATTCACATTGACATGCGAGCTGATTCATTATCGTGTTATTTATTTTACTATAGCTTGCATCATATCAAACACTCTAGTAATATTCAGTTATTATAATCAATAATTTTCCAAAAATATTTATACCAAAATGTAGCCCGTTCAATTCTGCATCTGATGGTATATGTATGAAATTTTTTCTGTTCTTCGATAACGACAAAATCGATAAGATAATGAAGTGCCTTAAACTTTTTTCCGCTGGACAAAAACGGTTTCTGTCATAAAAACCGAATCGGTTCACCGTTAATATTTCCAATATAATAGTTTTGTAGCTGCTTCTGAGAGCTATCGAAATCACTATTTGGATGTCCATAATAAATGGTCTTTGATGGAAAAAAACGAAAAATAAAAGGTGCCTTAAAATTTTGTCCGCCACTTTATACAACCTTGAAAACCTTTAAGTTTCAGTAAAACACTTCTGGTGAAAATGTGCCTCTTATAGCTGCAACATACAGTAATTTAGGTACACTCTTCTCATATAAAAATGATTATGAAATGGCAAGATGTGATGAAGAAAAATCATTAGAAATACGAGAGCTTCTATTACCGAAAAATCATCCTGACTATCGTGTACCCTTGCAATATTGTAATACGTATCATATAATACAATTAACTCTTGGATTTCTAGGTAAGGTTGGAAGAGAAAATTGTGGTTTAGTGTTCTCTGGACTGTTAACCTTGGCATTGAACCATACCAATGCATAAGTTTCAGGATTATGATTAATCTTGTTGCTCGATTCATTTGTAGAAGTCATGGCATTCATTCTGTTCATAGTAGTATAAGATGAAGCAGCTGCCATATTTTGTTAATTGTGCTAAGACAGAATGATTTTGAAGAATAATACCATAAGAGTTTTCTTTTACATGAAGAATTTTTTTCTTTATGAAACTGATAAGAGATAAAACTAATGTTTTTATTAGCCATAAAATTCATTTTTAAAAGAAACGAGAATGAGACGTGAGCTTCTTGCACGGTAATTATGTTGATAACATTGAACCACAGTATAAATAAAAAGAAACTAGTCGGCAATCACGCTAGCGAGAGTTGTAAATGCGGTTCGAAGTATCTGCTCAAAGCACACACCCCGACCAGAAACACGAACACTAGATAACAGAAAAAAATGTATCCAATCCGTCTACCGGACCTCCATGCTTCACAGGCCTTAGATCCATCTTTCTACTCCGGGTCCCCCTTGCGCGGAAGAGATGCAACCTCCGAGCAGAGCCCGCTTAGAGATGCAGACGAACACTGCAAACCTTCTGGCCTCTATAGCCCTCTTCTGTGGACGATCAGCTTATACAATGATCTGCATTTCCAGCTTAGCGCGAAGACTCTCTCGGTTTGGCAGCAGTGCCTTCAGCCCTGGACACTCTGTTGTGCAGCTTGCAACAGCTGGCCAAGCTGCTCACCTCGAGAAACTAGCTAGCCGAGGCGATGCAAATATCTTGCTCTCTGTGCACCCGAAGAGCTTCAGTTTTTTCTCCGAACCTTACCTAGAAATCTAAGAGCTTTGAAAAAGTTTTCTGACGTTCGAAGAGAAATTTTCGCGTCTCAAGTACCAAAAGCTTTGATTTTTGTTGATAAAACTAGATCTTTTACTAGAAAATCCAATGGAACAGTAGGAAAAACCTTCATTTTTCAGCTATACAACCTTGAAAACCTTTAAGTTTTAGTAAAAGACTTCAAGAAACCCATGACCTTCTATTACGCGTTTCGAATTTTTTCTCCGGAATGGCCTTCTAATGAGGGTGGCCCTCTAATGTGGGGTGGCCTTCTGTTGCGGAGAGGGGTTTAGCTTTTCATCCTTTGCCCCGCCCTTCTCAGACGTCTTGCTTCAATCCTTCAAAGCAGTCCACTTCACTAAATAAGCCCGCTGCACTCTGGCTCCAGCCTGAACACTTCATCCTGACATCAATATAGGGTAAACTTTAACGGGATATTACTGATGCTATGGCGACTTTGGCCTTCAAACTAAGCAAAATATCTTTGGCTATATTGAAATAGCTAAAACATGGAATCAACCTGCTTTTTTTATTTCAGCCTATGCCAACGTATTTTCTGAAGAACCTAAATGGCACAAAATGCTTATGATAATCAGAACTTTTTTGAGGGCTATGCCCAGCTTAGCCGTTCTGTCCATGGGCTGAACGGCGCACCGGAATGGCTATCAATTGTCAGGATGCTTCCTAAAATGGAGGGGCTTAATGTTATCGATCTCGGATGTGGGTACGGCTGGTTCTGCCGCGATGCACGGCAGAAAGGAGCAAAACACGTACTCGGCCTGGATATTTCTGAGAGAATGTTAAACAAAGCCAGAGAGATGACATCGGATCACGCGATTATTTATCGCCAGGAGGACTTAGAGCAACTCAAACTCCCTGAAGACACCTATCATTTGGCCTACAGTTCACTGGCATTGCATTATATTGAGGACTTGTCCACATTACTGAAAACGATTTATCAGTCGTTAACATCGGGTGGCTACGTTGTTTTTTCAGTAGAGCATCCGATTTATACGGCCCCCAAACACCCCGGCTGGTTAATCGACAAAGAGGGGCAAAAGTCATGGCCAGTGAACAGTTATCAGACAGAAGGACGCCGTGTAACCAATTGGTTGGCTGAAGGTGTTATTAAGCAACATCGTATGATTGGAACTTACCTTAACATGCTCATCGAGCAAGGATTTATTGTCACACATGTTGAAGAATGGGGCCCCACGCCACAACAGATTATTGAAAACCCATCGTTGAATGAGGAGAAAGAACGACCGATGTTATTCCTAGTTTCAGCGCAAAAACCTGCTAATAAATGAAAGTTTTTTGTTAAGAGCTTCGCCTACCAAACTGGCATTCCTCCTTTGTAGTTCATGTTTAAAAATTCCGACTGGGGAGATTATCTCCTCCTTGCACATCATAAAGAGCTCGTCTTCGAATCGAGCTTTTGTTTGGCGAAGGAAGGGACTACCCCTGGGTAAGGTTACAGTCTTATCTACCGTGCCATGAAGGGACGGGCAATCAAAACATTAAAGGGAACGGTTATGTCCGTTACTGCGCTCGGGGTCGATCCCCTAAAAACGCGTTTTCTGTTCGTGATGTTGATAAAAATGGTGTGGTTGTTCTGGCTAATTCCAAATTCCAGGGCTAACCTGCCAAATCCCATTCCTCCCAATTGTGTCAACTGTTGCAATCAGCTGGTCTAACAGAGTGGCGCCTATCGCACGCTATTCATTATCTAAACAAAACGTTGTAAGTTGAATAAATGAGTCACCCTCTCTCGCTTGTATCAGATATTTCAAACAGCTGCTGAAACAGTAACGCCTATCGAACGCCGGCCTTGCTTTTAATTATCGCGAAAAAACAAAGTTTGTTAGGATTTCGCGTTTTTCGAAGCTCACGAGAGACAGACGGAACGTCTATCTCGAAACGAATAACATTTGAAGCATTTCGGTTCCTGAAATTTTCTGGCACAGTTCGAACAAGCGTCAGATGACTCTCGGTTCGCGAGATCATCGCGGCAAAAAGTACACAATTTGAATGCGTACGGTCGAGGAAGGACTAGATGGTACATGGGTGACGCACTTTCTGAAAATCGATGCATTTCGCTTGTGAAATGACAAAATTTTTGTACCGGTTGGAAACAAGATTTTGATCGTAAAAGCGCTCATTATACCTTGTATTTGTCAGAGCGATAAGTAACGCGTAGGTTCGGTTTTAATTATCTTGAAAAAATGGAGTCTGAGAAAGAAATTCTTTTTTTCCTATGGCGATTGCAAATGAATGAAAATCTGTCAAAATATAACGAAATTTATAGCATTTTGGTCACGAAAGTCTGTGACAGAGCTTAAACGCATGTGCATGGACTCCGCCATCTCTAGATCATCGCGAGCGTGACCCATTTACAACAATATATGGCGAGTAAAATGATATAAAAATATTGACTTCATCTCCTATCTAGAGAAACTTGAAGCTTCCAACACGATATACATTCTTTTTTGTCTCTTTCGAGTGAGTCACTCGTTCTCCGTTATGCCTAATCACACAGATTTTGGAAAAATAGTATTCATGGTATATTTTTTAGATAATTATCGTTTTTCCTATGAGATAATTAATGGTCACATAATATACTTCATGCTGAATATATACTAGAGTGTTTGATATGATGCAAGCTATAGTAAAATAAATAACACGATAATGAATCAAATAATTCCCGACTTTACAGTGTAGAGAAACTTGAAGCTTTTTACGTAAACATGAGTGGGATTTTGACTATTTGTTTTAGGTCATATTATACTTAAACAGTATCGAAGCACTATTTTTCAGATTCAGTTTTTCACGGAGAACAAGGATGAAAAACTTTCAAGGTTCCCAAACACATTGTGTTCGAGTTTTGCGTTCGTTTTTAAAAAATAAGCCGTTTTTTGAAGTTTCAAAATGTTCAGTTTTTTTTAATTATCGACATTTCAGACTTGATTCGAAAGGTTAGAACACAGATGTTCTTGTTCAGCTGGACGGGCTCTATCGAAGCATGCATAAATATCATAAAAATAAATTTTGCTTATGTTGTGAATTTCCAACGCCTCACTAGAATGCTTGCTATGATGAAAGGTATAGTAGAACATAAGACACGATATACATTCTTTTTTGTCTCTTTCGAGTGAGTCACTCGTTCTTCGTTATGCCTAATCACACAGATTTTGGAAAAATAGGATTCATGGTATATTTTTTAGATAATTATCGTTTTTCCTATGAGATAATTAATGGTCACATAATATACTTCATGCTGAATATATACTAGAGTGTTTGATATGATGCAAGCTATAGTAAAATAAATAACACGATAATGAATCAGCTCGCATGTCAATGTGAATCATATGCCGTAGAGGATACACATAATTATGACGTTCTGGATGTTCAAA